GGCAGTTTTAACTTGCCGGGAGAGGGGGGAGAAATGCCCGCGTTAGCGCGGGGGAGGTTCTGGCCTCGCGTCCCCGAGGTTCCCCCCAAATCCTGCCCGTGGTTTAAAAATTGCTCTCTTGGCATAACTGTGCGGGAGCCAGGCTCACTTTTATCGCCGCTGACGCTGTCAAAAACGTTGTGGCTTCAGCAGTAACAACAGGGAGCCCCCTCCCTCCGCCGGGCAGCCGGGTCACCCGCTCCGTGGGAGAAACTAAACGCTGATAATCCATTAGCTTCGTCTTCCCCGCTTACGCGAAAGTGATGAAGACTTGCTAATTAATTTACATACGAGGGAATGATCTCGGAAGGAAGGAGAAAACACCCCGTTGCACCTGCTCCGCCGAGACTCGTCGTCTGAATCTGGAGGAGAGCTATAAATCATGTAAAGTGTTCGCGGTGGAGTCGGCTTCTGAGAGCTGTAGGATTATGTATCCAAGCGCTGAATTTATATTTCCCACTAGGAAAAGACTGAAACTCAGGTCAGATATAAACTACATCATTTCATTTAAAACTAAACTGTAGTTATTTATTTTAATTCTAGAGGGGATTTTTCTTCTCTTCTGATTAAATAGAAAGTAGTATTAGAGCGTGTAGTAATGATTTACACGTTATAGCCTGAAATCTCTTGCAGAGTTGGAAGTGGTTGACAGTGTAAGGATGATGCTTTAGACTCACATATGTCCTATTATTTTTGCTACACATGGAAAGACTGTGAATAACCAGGCTGTTAAATTTTACTTTCAGCTTTTAGTCTGTACAAAACCATATTTTCTGAGATACAGAATGGAGAAAACTTGGACTAGAGAGACCACAACTTCCAAAGGTTGACTTTCTCAACTACAGCAACTAAAATCTGTGTGATGTCTGCTTTGATCATTTCCATCCTTTGGAAAAAAAAACTTTAAAAATGTGATAGGCTACTTCCAAGAATTTCACTTACTGCCTCTGGGGCAATACTGTAATAGTTCTTGGCACTTGCCTGTTAAATGAGCTGAACTGGGAGAGCTACTGTTCGGTAAGATGTTTGTGTTTAGGGATATTTATTCCTGTGGCAGGTATTTCTTCATAAAAAGGAAAGGAGGGTTTTAAGCTGATAAGATCATGGTTTCATGTTGTAGAAATTATTAATAATTTAGTTTTATGACATCAGTGAATTTTCATATATTTGACTAGTTTTGTTGCTGGCAAAACTACACTGAGGTTTTGTCATTTCAGAGAGAACTAATTTAGATTGTGGTTAATTGCTTTAGTAGCCTAACATATTTTTGAGAATACTGTAAATGGCAAATATTATTAAGTTCTTTTGTTCCAATTATGTAAAAATACTGCTTTCTGATTAAAAAGATGTTGTGTGTTATAGATGGAGCCTGCACATTGCATTAAGTCATGTCATCAGAACGAGGGAATTGAGGAGCTTGTGTTCTTCAACAGTACATGTGATTTGCAAGTTTCATAAGTTATGAGCTTATTGTACAAGTGTGTGTATGTGTGTGGCAAAAGAGGGCTATACTAGTAAGATAAACTAATAATAACCCAGAAATGTATGAGGTAAGCAACAACATAGGAGCTAGGCTAACCACTCAATATGCTTACTTTGAAAACAAGGCGTGTATGCAGTAGTTTTCCTATCGCTGTTCTACAGCAAGGAAGTAAGGGAGCCAAAAATAAGCACAAGCCAGAAATAAAAAGACAAACATTTAAAAGGAGACTAGTCAGAGGGGAAGAAACATTTTGAAATGGAGTCTTTCTGTCAAATCCAAGACTGCATGTCATTGTTGAACTAAATCATACTCGGATATACAGCAGTTTTATGACATTTAAGGTGGAAGCCTCAGTCTAGTCTGTAACAAACCAATTAAGAGAGAATCTGTTGTTGAGGTTTATCACAGAAAAAGCGATGGTAGAGGTCAAATGACAGTCAATAAAGGTGAACTTAATCTTTGAACTTGGAACAGGAGAGCAATTTGTTTACTTCTCTGATTCTTCTGTCTCTAACTGGAAATGCTATCATGAACAATGGTCCCCAAAGTGGCCAAAGTGTACTAAGTGGTGGACATTTAATGGTCTGAGATAGCACTTTAGTAGAAATACTTTTTCTGTTTAACTGGCATTGTTCTGCCTAGTGCTTTGGCTGTGTAGGTCATACATGGATAACATGGAAGTTCTGAAAAATTAGGGGTTTAAACAATTTCTGTCATTGCTTAAGTTTCAGTCCAGTGTACATTTTTAAGTGAAATTTATGTTTGACTGCCAAAGTGTGGATCAAGTTACATTGGAAAAGCATTTGCGTCTTTTCTAATCTAGAATGAAGAAATCATTTGTCAGCCAGAAGGATATAGGGGAATGTGTTTACAGTCACCAGACTTTGTGTGTACAGTAATGACTTGATTGTGTTTGATACAATGGATTGTGGGCTTGGTGACTTCAGTGAACGACAGACCCGCCTACCTTTTCAACATTTGCAACAGGTTGAGGCATGCTTTTTGTGTCATGAAACCATAGCACTGCACGTTTCTTGATGGACATAGCTTTGAAAGGAGCTGAATGGAGGAGTTAGCTGCCTGCAATGTTGCTTCATGTTCTCTTAATGCTATACAAATAACTATGTGGCAACTGGTCTGTACCTGTAGCCATGTGAATATGCCCTCTCTATTTTCTGTAGCTGTTTTTAGATTACGCACTGCCATAAGAAAACTTTTGAATGGGTTGTTCAATGATTAACATAAAAGTGGTATGTTAGGAGGGGCACAGGTAGTCCTAACAGAAGCTTATGTGAAGTTTTTGGATAGCAACATCAGTATAGAAAGGATAGTCCAGCATTTGAGGTGTATATGCATAGAGTACAATCAAATTTCTTTTTTGGCTGTTTATATAGTAAGCAGGAATCCATTAAACTGGCAAGGAGGACAAATATTTAATGAAGACCTGAAAAGGCAATATCATTTCAGTATGTTTGCAATGCACTGCTCTGTTTAGTTGCTGATTAAATCTTTTGGTCTCAAGGAGAGCTTCTAGTCATCTGCTTTGATGCAATATGCTATAAAAACCTGTAAGCTAGAGGGGTAGGGGTTTAAGTCTTAAGACTCTTTTCTCTTAAAGATAAAAAATTGCATGTAGTCCTCTCATAGCCCCAGTTGAACTTTAGTGGGAATAGTGGGAACAAAAAGACTGGGAAGGGGAGGAGCAGAATAGGGAGCAGTTCTTCACCGTAGTAATTCAGGGCTGAAGGAAAGGCCTTTCTGAGTTAGGCAACAATCTTACCTTATCCCAGCAATAAGGTCACCACAGTCCACCTTAAAGCCAGTTAAGTACTTTGCCCTGTTGCTCTTTCTGGAAAGATGTTTCAAAACCTCTCTCCTAATGCTTAGAACTTTCTTTGAACTTCCAGCCTAAATATATTCTTTGATTCCTAATTTTTAATATCTCAATGTTGTTAGTTAAAAACAGCTCCTGCCTTGGTGTGTAGCCCTCAATAAATTATAAACATTGATCATGTGCCTTCCTCAGCTTTTATGTGCTAGGATCAAATAAGCAGAGCAAGCACCTTTTAGTCTGTCTAGTAAAATAGAATAAATAGGAAGATAGAGAGCCTAGTAACTCGGTTCTCCTGAATTTTGAATGTACCTCACCTGCATCAAATACTTTGTACCTGAAGTGTTTCCTCAAAGTCTTGAATAATAGTGCTAACGTTCCACTCGGTCTACTGAAAATACTTTATCAGATATCGGTGAAGATCAAGTTTGTTTTACAGGTATGCCACGTTGGCTTAATCTTCTTGCAGCAGACTAGACATGGGTGTGTGATTTCTCTTTTCCTGTTGCTCTCAAATGATAAGACACCATGTAATCACAGAAATTCTGCTATTTGTAATCATGTGGCTTTGAAGAGTTGCTAAATATTTTCCTATTTCTAATATGCCTATCCCAATGGTCCTCCAATTTCTTCTGTAAGTTAGCGAGAGCCTCCCGTGTATCAGGAGTGCTTCCTGTAACCAGTTTTTATCAAAACGCCTCTACTTTTTGCCAGGTTCACAGACATGAAATAAGATGAGTCTGAAGAAGGATTTTAAATAAGTCCATTCAATATGTCACCGTTAGTCAGTTTTATATCCACTTTATTTTTGTGTTACAACCTATCTTTTCCAACTCAGTAAATAATTGCTGGGTGATAACATATCAAATTCTTTACTGAAATCTGGAGAGATTGGACTCTGGATTTCCTTTGCCTTAATATTTGCTTTTAAAAGTTAATTTACTTGTTCCAGACTAATATGTCTTTTTAAAGTTATGTTGAAATTATCCTGATTTTTTTTTAAATTGTCCTCCTTATTGTTAATTACCTTTTAATTGAAAAAAAGCAAACCCCAACTTTTCATACGTTGAAGTCAGGATAACAATTGCCTAGGTCACTTGCTTCTCTCTTCTTACACCTAAGCACCACGTTTTCTACTCTCCAATATACTCTCCACTTTGATCTAGCTTTTTTTTGCTACTCACTGTTGAAAAGGAGTAGTACACTACAGATTGCTGATGATGATACTAGGTCCTTTGTAAATTCCCTACCCTGTGGCCAATCCATTCATAATCTGGGGAGGAAGCATCATTTAATAGCTCAAAAGCCATTGTGCCTTAGTTGTTGAGAACAGGGGACTGATCCAAACACTTTTTTTTTTTTTAATACTTGGTTTAATTTCCTAAGTCAGCTTTGTGTCCCTACTGCTTCTTTCTTCCCTCATTCCCCCCTTACAATTACTGTCCATTATGTCCAGCTGCTCAGATGGTGTTTTCTTGGGACTTAACAAAAAAATGGGATAGAGGTGGAATATAGTGGGATTTTCATGATGACATGGGCAACACTTGAAAACTGAGTCATTGAATTACTACTGAAAATGTACTATAGAAGCGGAAAGTAGTAATTGAGACTGCATAATTTAAAATTTATTTAGGTTATTCTGGTAAATAACAGACTGACCTATATTTGTGATAAGTAAATTTGTTGAAATGATTTGAACATATTGTAATTCTCTAGATATCACTTTAGGATGACAGCTAGTTCATGTGGCTCCACAGAAGAAAATCATGTCTTGCTGCCAAAAGGGCTTTGAAGCCCTTTGCTCAGTTTTACATCCAAGTTTCCTTGACCTCAAAAGTGAAGAATCTCTCCAGGATTCTGTTTTTGCTGGGGTGTCTGTCTTTCTTTTGTAGACCTTTCTTGTCTGTTAAAGCAGGTTCCTATTTTCAATCCAGTCCTTATTTCTACTGGTATCTGTGAAACAAGTGACAGTTACCAGAGCTTTATCAGTCTTCCTGCTGCCTACAAAATTTTGAATGGAAACTGTGGAATTGACCAGAATATTTTGCTAATGTTGCTGCAGGATTGCACCTCCATCTGTAGCCTCAAAAAGCCATTACCCTTTCATGCATGTTTAGAAGTCTAGCTTTTCTAGTTATTAATGTAAGAATCTATTCTGTTCAAATAT